ATCACCACTGGACAGATCAACTGAAAACAGTAAATGTGATCCAGACCGATAACCTAGGGGTCATCATGTGATTTTCAATAAGCAAAGTTAGCAGTTGGAAAACTGATGCCAACTTATAAAAAATGCAGAACTACTGAATATTACTTGAGAGTTTATTCCTGAAATCAAATCTTTCTAAATCTATCAACTTCAGCTTCAGATTCCATTTTTCAAAGCCAATATTCTTACAAATAACCTTGAAAAGGAAAAAACAAACTGCAGTATCTGTTTACTTAAGAGAAGTTAAATGGTGCATGTAACATCTCTGTTACATAGTATACAACAGTGACTGACTTTAGCCCTTAAATCACATTTGTCATTTGCTATGACTGCAAAGTGACCTATATTTATTTATCTTGGATTATAGGGGATAATGCCCTTCAGTTTCAACTAATGCCAAAAAATAAAAACACTCTGTTAAACAAAGACAATGTCTATTAGCAAATACCAAAGGGAGAGTCCACAAAGCCCAGCATTACGAATGTTTACGGAGAGCAAGTCACCAAATAATGACTTCTAGATTTTTCCATTACTTGCCATCTTTTTTCCCTCTCACTTGGTGGAAAAAGTGTTAACTTTTTTAGCCAACCATGGAAGCACAGCCATAATGCAGATGCTGAAGCCACATTGGAAGGTCCCTGCTTCATGTTTCAAAATCGCCCTGTACATGCCTGTGATACTGGCAGGCTGAGGCTGGTTGTGGATCACAGCATGAAGAACCCCTTGTTGGTTCTTCACTCTCTCCCTTTCCCCCATGTTCCTCTCTTTTATAGAAAAAATACATAAATAAGCTTAAAAATACGAGTGCAATCTTTTGATTCAGCTTGTTTAAGTACTGATCCAACTGCCTTATATAATAATTTTGTGATCTTTGGCAAATTCATTCACCCCCTTGTATCTCAAACTCTTTATCTATCAAATGGAAGTAACAATTACAGTCATTTCCTGAGAGAATTATAAAGAAGATTGAAGATGATACATGAAAACGTCTTTAACCCATACCTGGGATGTAGGCAGTGCTTATTAGATGTTAGTTATGAATACCTTCTATAATAGTGCTTTAAAAAAAGTAATGCTTTGAAAAGTTAATGCACTCTACTCAACATGTCCTTTGCCCACAAGAATATGAGAACAGCAATTTTTCAAACCACATGTATCAATCAACGACCTCAGTTTGAGTGTCACCTTAACCAAAAGTCAGATTTTACATCTGTATCCTAAAGTTGTAACAGAGGGCCAGAAGTCACATGTGTGACTCAGGAAGATCCCACCAGCAGAATTTGAACAACAAACTGAAATAAACCCAAATGAGACTATGGCAATGGTCCAAAGGAAAGATGTTGAGATTTAAACACAGGCACTGGCAGCAATTACAAAAAAAGAATGAGACAAACATGAGATGCATGAAAGGGACAGAAACTATACAAATACATCAGTGATGTGAAGTGGTTAGTACCAAATAAATCAAATGGTTTCAAGTTATTTTTAAAACTCTAGTACAGGGATCTGTCTTATTTTTCCTGAGTACTTATTTCACATAACTATCATTATTAATCCAAAATGTAGTCCAGCTATCACTTTTTAAAGAATTCTAATATGGTGCATTGTAGAAGATAGAAAACAAATGTGTATAGCTGGTAAAGTATGATTAGCTTCATTAGTACATCAGGCTAAACTATCCATATGTTAATCAATATATTTATGTTAATTGCTAATTTTCATGTCTCGCAACAAAGGTGCAAATTGTGGCATCACCTGACCTTCAAGGCACACATGATACCAGTAATGCTTTTTTATTCTTACTAAGTTGTGCAACTGCTAAAATTAATTGCACCCAAGGGCTATTTTATTATGCATGAATTGTCACCCAAATGAATGACAATGTTTGAGAGGCAGTGAAAGAATAGGGGTTTAAATGTGTTCCCAGCGAATGCTGCCAGCCACATGACAACTGACATGATACCAATTATAAGATCACTAATTGAGGCTATCAAACAAGCCTGCACATTTTTATCCACCACTCGGATTTCCAACTTTGGCTTTTCAATTCTCCTTCAGTAAATATGGAAAACAAACCTTTTCAAAGTAGTATTTCCTGACATTCTGAAACTAGAATTAATTGTTATACATAAATATTTACATATATATTTAAATATATTTTAGATATGCATTCTGCCCTAATTCTATTATGTAACAAAATAGCAACTGTAGGTGCTCATTTTATTTTTCCTGTCTCAGAACTCAAAAAAAGACAAGAATATGAAGTATATGTCTCTTCTTTTAAGACTAAAGCAATAAAAGTAAATTCTTAAAAGTTTGATTTTGGGGAAAAGTGGATTTTTAATAGAGAAAAGAGCTTAACAGATTACTATTCATTGTCTTCTATATTGGAGAATTTAGCTAGGTAAAGTGTAGCTTTTACAGCTGCCTTGTTCAGAAGTAGGGTGAAAAAGAAGGCTCAGGTTTCTGCATATGCAAAGTGAAGCCTCCTTTTATTCCACAAGGTCATATTCAAGGAATGTCTTCATTGTTTGGATGAAAATCTTAGACATGTGTGTGTTTATAAAGATATATAGCATGATATATATTTCATATATATATATAAAAAATTTTATTTATACACACATTTTTCATTTTGTGTGTGTATGTGTTTAAGGTTTTTCACCAGACCTACAAATTATCTTGCAGAATAAATGTTAGTTCCACATATGTATAATACACCCAAACACACACATACATACACTTCTTCAATATATATTTATATTGTTTATAATTTTTTCTGAATTTATTAGGAAATGATAATTATATCTACTTCTAGGATTAGACTTCATAGATTAAATTGAGCTTTTAAAAATATGTATTTTATTTAACTTTATGTATTTATTTATATTAATTTGACCAGAGAGGGACAGAGTGAGATAGAGAAAGGAGAGAGATAGAGAAAAAAAGTGAGAAAGCAAGCCACCTACCAGGTCAGGTACTCAAAGCACAGTCAGCCATGTGCCCTTTCAACCACCACACCACCTGCCAACCCTAAAATCTGACTTTCTTAAATGAAAGAAGTGTGTGTCAGTTTTTTTTTAGTTATTCCATGCCTCTTAAAATAGAACCTTATGATTACTCAAAACAATGCAATTGATTTTTCTTCAGTGGAGTACTAGGTTTTTTCCTACGCCAAGCTCCATAAAATATGAAATGGAAGGAAAGGGGAGATGGAGAAAGGCAGGAACTAGAAAAGGAATAGGAAGGAGATGGGCCACTGGAAAACTTGCATTATCCCAGAACAAGGATTAACAGGGTGAGCCATGCTGCTGTCTGTGGTGGCTCTTCCTTGTCCACCATGTTCACGGCTCTGCTTTTAACCTTGGCACATGGCTCACTGCAGAAATCAGCCATGCAGCGCCAGACCAGGCTAACTATGTGGCTAATCCACAGCATCGTGAGGAATGACAATTATCTAATCCAAGCCACTAAGTTTTGGGGTAACGGAATAAAGAGCAAGAGCAAACTGATCTGTCACATTAATCACTGAGATCATGAAGTAGATTCAACAACTAGGTTTCCTTTTGCTGACACACATGAGTAGTAACACAAGTGACACAGCAGAAAGTCACAACTCTGTGGCGAGAACTGCTGGCCTAGATGACAGGGGATCAAATTCTTTAGCTAAAAGTGCTGTTAGATGATTTTTTTTCCAGTGGTTTTAAAACTGTTTTGTGGATGCCCTGGTTTTCAGAAAGGGCTTCCAAGGCTGTCTGGAAAATAATGCTTATAGTCTGCTCTGTTTGACCATGTGTGTTCAATCTGGGGCTTTCCAGGAAAGGGTTCACTTCCCAGAAAGGGACTGTCTGACGAAGAGTGTTGTAAAAATTTGAAAAACACAAATTTTGTCCAGCTACATCAGGAATTCCTAAACCGAGACCCAGATTACTAAGGTAGTTTGTTCAAGTTCACATAACTGGAAGCCGCACACCAGGAGCTTAAATGCCCTTCTCTATCCACCTGAATTGGGTAGCTGACTCCTAACATATCTTGAGACTTTTAATCTGGTCCTATGCTAGGCATATTCTTCTCTAAAGGAGCAGGATTAATAAAGTAATAAAATAATGGGACTCAGTCTTTTTTTTTACAAAACTATAAACTCATTAGTCACTGAATGTTTAATGAGATCAATAGATCTCATTTCCCTCCCCCCCCAACTTTTTAAAGAAAATGTACTCCTTTAGGTCTGATATTCCATATAAAAGCTATGCTTTTAATAGCGAGTATTTGTCTCTGTGTAATCAAATGGAAACTTTAGCCCCAGTACTGAGCCATCATTGTATTGGACTGCCCACACACTCAAGTATAATTTGAGTGTTGGAAATGAGCTCTATTAGTTTTGCAAACCAAGAATAAGTCAATAACGTTTGTTTCCAAGTTCAAAACTAATGAGTGCTCTGTATTTTTCTCTGTCTTCCATTCTGCAGCAAACAGTGAACTCTGAGATGGAATATTTTCAGGAAAATAATTATTTAGTATATACTGAAATCATAGATAAATATTTAAAACCCTTACTCTTAGTTAAGGACACTCTTCTCTGATGGTAAATCCTACATCTGGATTTATCCAAGGTACATCTTTATTGAAAAGTCTTTCTTAAAAGTGGCATTGTTCATTTCCCCATGCAAGATAATTTTAAAATGCATGTAAAGAGCAGCTACTCATAAGTTATTCCATTTATCAATTTAAAAAGCCATAATAAGAAGTTTATCAGAAACCATCATAGATAGAACAAAAACAAAGTTTTAAGTCATGTATTTAAACCTCTTGATTGGATCATCATTGTTGATAAAGAATTTGCTGTATTTTAGACCAGAGATGCTCACGTTGTACTTTAAACCTATGGAACTATCATGTTAATAAATTCACGGTTTTTATGCCTCTAAATCTGTGTTAATTTATTTCAGCAGAAATAGGGAACTACTATATCACCTTCACCAAGTGACAAGTTTCACATCAGCAGTGATGTCAAGTCGATGTCATGTCACCTGATAACGCAATGAGGACAGCATGTCATTCCTATGGTGTCCTTCCTTCAAACCCATTCTGCCAGTCTAGTCATGAAGAATATCAGGTAAACAATAGTGAATGAAATCTAAAAAATGTCTTAAGAGTATTCTTCAAAACTTTGAAAGTCATGAAAAACAAGAAGGCCAGGCCATAGTGGGGTAGGCAGACCACATAGGAAGGTTCTGGGTTTGTGTCCCAGAAGTATTCAAACATGCCAGTCACATCCATGATCCTGGCTGGCTGCAGAGCTGGGAGCAGGGGGATCACAGCACGAAGACTTTGTTAAGAGTGTCTCTCTTTCTCTGGAAATACATTAGTAAACTCTTAAAAAAAAAAAAAAAAAAAACAAAGATGAAGAAGCTGTTACAGACCTGAAGAGTAAGACACTGTCTAAATGTAATGTTGTTTCCTACATCAGATCTTAGAAACGGAAAGAGGACATTAATGGAAAAACTGGTGAAATATGAATGAATCTTCAGTTTAGCTAATAGTACTGGGCAGCCAACTTCTTAGTTGTCACAAAGTACCATGGTTAAGCTAGTATTAGGAAAAGCAGGGTGACAGGTATGTGGAAACTCTATACTTTGCAAATTTTCTGTAAACCAAAATTACTCCAAAATAAAAAATTCATTTAAAAATAAATGAAACAAATGTTTTTAAATATATATATATATATACCAAACAGACACATGCCTTCAAAAGTCAAATTTATCTGCTAGTTCTAAACTCTATTTCTTTATTTCTTCCCCAGCATACTGTGCTGTCCAAAGATTTATAATCCTTGACTTCCAATACCATTCATTCAATTAAAGACTAAATTAGCTGGAAAAAAAATTACATTACCCTTTTCTACTTAGCAAATGAATAGTTAAAAAAAAAGTTTATGGAATAAGCAATATCTTTGGAACTAACTTTCTTTTTCTCAAATTCTCAATTCTTTTCTACTTAGTTCTGTCCTAGTATAATTTCTTCGCTTTTTTTTTAAGATTTCTTTATTATTTATTTCTTCTTTGAGTGGGATAAAGAGAAAGTTCCACAGTGTCTCAATGCCACATCCTTCAGCCAGCCTTGAATCATGAGCACACATGTGCCTGGTGTTCTTGGGGACATCTCCAGACTTGAGTCGGGAGTTTTTCCACGAGGGACTGCCTTGCAGAACATTACCTTTTACCTCTGTGCCACCATCTGATCCCCAGATTTTATTCTGAATCAGGAATAATCTACCTAGGGTAGTTTATAGAGTTGATACTGGTTTCAGACTCCAGGTGTCCTGAAGTGAGAAATGTGAGAAAAACATCTCACCACATCATTGGGTGTAAGTGGAGAATAATAATCATGACAGTCATAATGTTAGTAATAGTTCTCAATAATTCATTTTCCTGTAATCCAGGCACTTTTCTAAGCCCTTTACATTATTTGTCTTTATAAAAAACAATAAAATAACCTTATGATGTAGGACCTCTTTACTCATTTCTAAATGAAAAAATAAAAACAAAAGACACAGAAAGGTTAATCATTTTGAATCATGTTTAATAAGTGTTGGAGCCAGATTTCAAGTCTTGCCAGTGTGTTGTAGGACTGAATATCTGATGTCAGGATGTCAAATGTTTTCTGAGAAGTGACACAGTAAGGCATGAATGAATTGAGTGTACATTTTGACTTTAGCTATGGTGATTCTTAGCTGTCTTTTAAAATTTTTAAAACATCTTCATTAAATAAGTAAATTTATAAATTACTTTTTAAAAGTTTACATGCAAAAGATATGAAAGATTAAAAATGGATGTTCAGATGCATTAGAGGTATAAGAATAGAATTCCCATACCAGCAATATCCAACTTTCTGGTAAATTAGGCTTTCTTCAACTAGAAATCACATATGAGTAATTAACTCTGCTCATAGAGGGGAAGGGAATAGGATTCTGTGTGCAAACATATTTGTGAAAATTGATATGCTGATACATTTTTATATATTTACTCTAGTTCAAATAATTGAATGGTTAACTATCATGAAAACCCCCTGTGCTTATGCGCACACACACACACACACTTGCATGCTTCACTTTATTTGGCTAATTTAACAGCAATTGAATGTATTATTAAACTTTTTTCCCAAATTACAGAACTTGTCTTATAATCTCTTTGAAAGGCTCTAATTTTCAGCATATAAGAGAGCAAATCTTATTCTTTCCATTCCATATTTAACAAATGTGAGCAAACTGAGAAGAACTGAAGAGAGGTAATTCCAAACAGGGTTACACAGGAATGTGACTGGAAGAATTAAAAGGAACAGGATGAGGGACTAAAGGGAGAAGTGAAGAAGAAAGATGGGAAGGAGACAAAGCTATAGCAGCTTTTTAAAGGTTTAAATGTAGAAATAGTAAATAACCATGTGGTCATTAGAAATGAACCAAGTTTTAGATTCTATTCCAGGGTTCATTCAGATTCATGTACCTCTACAAATTTTCTAAAAAAGCCTGTTCTTCCTTTGACTCTATTTTCATTTTGTCTTTAAACATAAAGATGGGAAATAGTCAAATACCTTTTCAAACTCAAGTTATAATAATTCTATAGTTGAAAATTCCCCAGATTTTCTAGTACAGTAAACATTGCCTCTAAAGGAAATGAGTCTGGTCTAGCATTAGTTTCTAGGGTATTTATTTTATAATCATTGCATTCTTTGCTTGGAATTATGAAGCGTCTGTTTATTAGTCCATGTGAGTACTTGACCAGGGGTTAATGCAATGCCCACACATAACGTCTATGGCTTACAATTTTACCACTCTATGAGTTGCAAGATTTCAGTCTTTGACACCATATTGTCGATGATTTCCCAAATATCATTCCTAGTGGTAAACCATCATAAAAGTTTTGTTTACATGAATTTTTCACTGTATTTTAATAGGACTATTATCCTTCTCAGTGAAGAAGAAATTTGCAAAATAGCATGATTCTCATCCACAGAAGTGTTCCAGCAAACAATGCCTGATTCCCAGTCACAGAGAGAAGTCCCTTTGCTTTCTTCCTGTCACCTATGGGTTCTGTCTGTCCAAGGTAATGATGCAACCAATACACAGATGTAATACGTTCATCTATTCAACAAATAGTTATTGGGAAATATGGTTTTGCTTTATCACTCTGTACTAAGTACTAAACAGTAAAGGGACAATGAAAAATACGACGAAATCTGAGCCTATACAATTTGTACTCCTCTTACTGTCACCAAACCCATTTATTTAAGTAGTGGGAGAATATCTTAAATGAAAATATTCTCAAAAATGTATTTTTAAATTAAACTAATCTGATAGAACCATAATATGATCACCAAGGAACAAGCTTTATCAGAGAGCCCTTAATATGTTAATATGTGTTGTCAATCTGTGGGAGAATACAATATATAATGTTTGCCAAACTTATTTGGCCATGGAATTGTCCTTTACTTCTTTAGACTTATTAAGGGTGTAAGGTTTTGCAGAAATAATCAGTATTTCCAATTTGGGTGGGAAGTAATAAGCATGGGGAGGATGTGTCTTTAGTGCTACACTCTCTCTTATTCTATCATCGTCACATGTAGACAAACAGGATGGAGAATTTCTGCATTTGCACGACCTAGTTTTACATTAGTCAGAAGTTAATATTTCTTTGAGAAAATCCTGTTGGACTATTCAAATTAAGTGCAATTCCACCCCTTAAAACCATGATTCTTGACCTTTAGCCATGGAGCATCTACATTGAGACTGATGAGCTGCTTATTCAAATTTGCAAATTTCTTAACCTTATAAAAAATGATGTCCACACATCTACAGTGTTTAAAGAATTCTTCTAGTGATTGATATACACTAAAACTGAAGAGACACTGAATTAGAGTCTACTTTTTCCTACTCTTGTTCCCTAATTTTACGAAATATCTACTTACAGTGAATCCTTTTTTTATCTCCAGGGCATTGGATAGAGTGGCACTATAGGTAAGAGAATTCACGGGTGAATCTGAAGCACTATTTTGTCAAGAATTGCACCCTCATTAAAATTCAAACCTTTTAATGGGCAAAAACTAAGAAGAAACAAAGGTGACTAGTTTGGGATTAATTTCCATCTCATTATGTCAAATAGGAAAAGCTAAGAAGTCAGAGGAAGGTAGATAATGAGGCTGAAAATAATGAGATAATATATTTCTAGGCATCTTTAATACATATTTATTTCTTAAGAAGTTAAAATCAGGATATGGAATGGAGGGTTCTGAGAAAATGGCTACCAGAGCTTACATCCCTGATCCCCTGGTTCTCCACTCAGCTCCTTGTTAAGGAGGCTTAACAAATAAATTAATCTTGCTGGTAAATACTCCAGAGAAAAGCACAGTTAGGTGTTTTGTTATTGGTCATCCCTGGGAGAGAATGTATAGACCAACAGAGCTTTGAGTTAAGGCTATGAAGAAGTTTGGTGGCAGACACTGGTAGAATCTCTACTATGAGGTGAACCAGGAGTTTTTGTACTTTGTACTGGAGGTGCCAAATTAAGTTAATAAAAGAAATCTGAGTTGGGGGAGGGCAGCAGATGGCATAGTAGTTAAGGTGTTGGACTCCCGTTTGACAGACCACATTCCGAGTCCCTCTCTGGTCAAATTAAAATAATTAAATAAATAAAGTTAAATAAAATAATTCTTAAAAAACAAAACAAAACAAAAATAATACTTAACCACTACACCAATGATTGATCTGTCATGATGTGTTTTTTTTTTTTCTTAGAGGTTTTTACTTTAAAGCGTGCACATTCACCCAAGAAATAGAGACAGAGACAGTGAAAGGGAAAGTGAAAAATCACTCCCCCAGGGGATATGGCCACACAGTAATCTCTTCTCCTTTTTTCTCTTTCCAGAATCTTGGGCACTCACCCACACCCACCTGGCATGAGTTTCAAGCCACTGAATTCAGGACTGTAAACACACGCAACCATGTGGAGGTCCAGCAATGTAACCACTGTACCATCTGCTGGTCTCTGGCTCATCACGATTTTAACTATATAACAATTTAGAGTTTATTCTTTTTTTTAACCAGAAGGAAACTTAAAATAAAGACAATATGTGCACAATGCTATTACTTCATGTTCAATTTATCTGGGAATTTATTTACAACAATTTCTTCACTTCGTCAGGAGTCATTCTTTCCTTCAGTCATACAATTTTAAAACTATGGAAGTATTCCAAGATGTCACCCAACATTAGACAGAGTCTAGCATATAACCTTTTTTAAAATTTAAAGTCTGTGTATTCAAAGTGTAACATTATCTTCTCACCAAAGTGTCTCCTTTTTTAATTAATTAATTTTCAATTTAAAGTTTTTACATTGAATCACTGGGTATCATTACAGCACACCAAATGAATTTTCCCATTATGAATACAGTGTATATTAGTCCAAACATATATATTTTTTAGTTTATTTACATTTTTATTATTACTTGTACATTTAATCGCTATACATCATTTAAATTGTAGAGACTTTACCCAGCATGATATACACCTCAGTCCAGCCCAGCTGAGAATACTATACATGTCCTCATCAACAGATAATAAACCATATCTATGTCCCACAAATGTCTTGCCTCTTTATTTTTTTTCCAAAATTTCTTTTCCTATGCTCTTCCCAAAAGTGTCTCTTTTTCCAGTAATTCCATTTCTGTGAATCCTCTGAACCAAAACTTGGAGAATCATCTATAATTTCTCACTCTATATGTAATCTGTTTCTAAGCCCTGCTATAATTTTCAATTGAAAAATGTTTTACATTTATCTCGTTTACTTCATTCTGATCATCATTATTGTTATCAAAGTACTTATCATCTCACACCTAAATAACTTAGATAATTTATACCACTCTGCTGACCAATATTCTCTGACCTGACATCCCTCTCTTGATTTTTTTTTTTTTCAAATCACTGCTCTATTGTCTTTCCCAAGTGCCTACCATCATTGTTTAATGGAACAAATCCCAGAACCTCATGTTGTCTGGCTTTTAAGTTGTTCTGTGGCCTACTCTCACTCTATTTTATTGCAAAGGTTTGGCCTTCCACTTCCATGAAGAGTAGCCTCAAGATCGAGCCATGGGCAATGATGTGGTAGTGTTCTCAATCATCCAAACAATTTAATAGTTGTTCAAATAAATTGATCTTGAGTTGTTTTTCTTTAAATTTTGCTAAAGGGTGTGTGTTCTTGCCAGAGAGAGAGAGAGAAAGAGAAAAAGAGAGAGGCAGAAAGCCTTCCATGGGGGATTGTTATGCCATAATCCCTTCTCCTCCATTTTTTTTTCTTCCTTCTCGGATTTTTGAGCATGCATGCATACATGCCTGGTGTATTTTTCCAGCTTCTGGGTCTGGGACTATAACAGTGCTGTCAGCCATGTGGGATCCAGTTCTATTAACCGATAGGTTATGCACTGGCCCTATATTGAGATTTATTTAAAACAGAAGCCAAACAAAAATTTTTAAAAGGGAAGAAAAAGACCTTCTCCTCTTTTGTCTCAAACAGCTTAGCTCTGTCCTAAACTTACAAAAGCACCTTCTACAAATAAGCCTTGATGACTATGTAATTTATGCTCTACAAATCTAAGGTAAATGACCATCTATATCACTCTCGTTCTTATCAATGTACTCTTACCAAAACATTGCGTATTCGTCCTATTAGAAACAAAGCCTAGAAAACACAACTTTCTCCATTTTATTAGATTACAATGATTTTTTTTTTAAATGTTTGCTTCAGCTTCACTGTAGCAGGGTACCCAGGGTGACTGCTTATTTTTCTTGCTGCTTATCTTGTCTGTCCTAATGCACAATTCTCTTTGATTACAGATTCTTGCCCTCTCACACGTGGAATGTTTCCCTCTTTCCTGTCCACCTATGAAAATAAAAATAAAGTTTACCAAGATGGACTCTCTCAAATTTCAGTTCTACTTAAGGCCTTTTCCAACTAATTCAGAGTATATGTTCCTCCTCTGGCATATTATTGTTCGGCTTGTGTCTCATCTATGCTAGTTTTGTATTTGTGCGTGGGATCTTTCTTAAACAGGGTCTCACGATGGTGCTATTCTCCTGCCTCAGACTGCTGGATAGCTGAGACTATAGGTACACATCACTAAATGGCTTTTTAGGGCAAGTCTGGAATCACACCCACCTCTCAGGTGAAGCCTCCCATGCCATAGCATCCAACATGAACTACTACAACTGGGTCTTGCTAGTTTTGTTTCATGGTGGGGATTACAAGTTACTATCAGCACCCCGTGTGTTTCCTTCTTTTGTTGTCTCTCTAATCACATAGCACATAGTTAGCAATGAGTATGTATCTGTTTATCAATTGCATACTGTAAGACATTAACACTTTATTTGACAGATCAATGTAAAAACAAATTTATTACCAAACATAAGTTTAATTGCTAACCGTATTTTGTTATTTTCGGTAATCTCAATATCACAAAAAGTCTTCCACCAAAGAGTTTGTAAGTCAAGAAGCAGCAGACTGTTCATTGTTTACCCAATGTATTTGACAATATCATAGCAAAGTTGAATATTATATATTGGAATAGTATTTTCTGCCACAGAGGTTGAAATTGAAGCTGTCTAAAATATAAGTGTTTTGAGAATCACAAAAACTGACCCTTCCTTTGTACTTGCAGACACCCAACAGCTGATCATTGTGTTCCACTTGTAATAAAATGATACACGACAAGGCTAGCAAGTGGTGAAGTGGTTAAAGCACTGGACTCTGACATGGCTGACCACAGTTTGAATCCAGACCTGGTCACTCTCTCTCTCTCTTGCTTGCTCTCGCTCTCGCTCTCTCTCATGAGTCTCGGTCTCTCTTGTGAGTGCACAAGCCCTATAGAAAATTTAAAAGTAAGAAATAAATAAATCTTGTTTAGAAAATGATATGCCATGTGGAAATGTGGGGAGCCTAAGGAATACTTGGGAATAGAAAAAACAAGGGACACTTCCTATCAAAATGATTTGTGGTAAGTGTCTCTTATAGTTTTGATATTCCTAGGAGTTCTAGGAAAGAGGAATTAATCATTGGTAATGTTCCATGAACATGGGAACTTCGATCAGAGCACATTGACATGTACATTAGATAACAGCTCTAAAAATCCTTCCAGATGTGCTTATGAATTTCAGAATGGATGCTTCTTAATGATTCTTTTCTTTTTGGCATTTAAAAACTGACTTTGTGGCCCAGCCTCAGTGGTATAGGAGGTAGAATATTGTTGCACTATACTGAAGCCATATGGAAAGACCAGGGGTTCAGACACTGAGAGGACCTGAACACATCGTGAGTTTCTGTGATCCTGGCTAGCAGGAAAATTCAGGGGAGGATCATTGTACAGCAAGATCCTCTGGGAATCCTTGTGTCAGGGTGGAGGAAAAGAAAGAGAACTATTTTGAAATTGGGGATAGTTGACACATTTCTTATGATGTTAACTTACTTTGGATAGTGTTCTATTTGAAGTAAAAATAATCTTTGTATTTTATGAAAATGGAGGAAAATCCTTTTAAGTGTAAACATGGGGATTCACTATGATAAAGAAGACAGTTATGTAATATATTTTGCTTGAGGAGGCTGTTTTGCTTTGAATTCTTAGAAAAAAAAAAAAGAGCCACCCCATGTTGTGGTGGTTGGATTGGCTGGATCCCACAAGGCCAGCTGCATGTTTTTGAATCCCAGACCCATCAGCTTGAAGGACACACAAGGTGTGTGAGTGTGTGGGTGTGGGTGTGTGTGTGCCTGTGTGTCCAAAATCCCGAGAGGAGAATGGAAGAGAAGGGATTGCAGCATCCTCTCTGAGAGGTACAATCTCGCATTCCCTCTCTCTATTCCTTTCTCTGTCTCTGTCTCTGTCTCTTCCCAGTAAGCCCATATACTCTACGGCATTTTTTTTTTTAAAGGAAGAAAAGAAGAACCAATTAGTCTGTCTCTTCCCAGTAAGCCCATATACTCTATGGCATTTTTTTTTTTAAAGGAAGAAAAGAAAAGAAAAACCAATTAGTAGACAAATCTTCTCATTGAAACTATTTTAATGTTTTATCACTATGACTTTTTTAAGAGAGTTTGTTTGTTTGTTTGTTTTTTGCTGTAGAGTACATGTACTCACCAGAGAGAGTGAGAAGTCACCGCCGCCCCGCAGGGGGGATGGCCATGCCACAATCTCTTCAGCTTCTCTCGGAATTCTGGGTTTGCACGCATATGCACTCACCGTGAGTTTGAAGCTGCCGGGTCTAAGACTCGAACCGCAGTCAACTACATGGGAGTCCAGCAACATAGCCATTATGCTAACTGCTGGTCCCTTGAGAGGATTTTGCAGTAGGGTGCACACGCTCACCACAAAGACAGAGAGACAGAAAGTGAGAAATCACTCCCCAGGGGAGATAGCCACGCCGCAATCCCTTCTCCTACATTCTCCTTTCAGGATCTTGGGCACACACGCACATGCATCTGGAGTGAGTTTAAACCACCAGGTCCAGGACTTAAACTGCAGTTGACTACATGGGAGTCCAGTGACATAGCCATTATGCTAACTGCTGGTCCTATAAAAATTATTTATAAAAATAATTCTAACAATTTATTTTTAAAATTATTTAAATTTTTCCCTAAATTTTTCTAATTTAGCTATGCATGAATTATTTTTGTAATTATGTTTGATAACTGTGACTTGAAACTGCAAGTTTATAGTTTTATTGGCTTCTAATAGTTTATATATTCACCAATGTAAGCCAGCATTTTATTAAAAAAAGAAAAAACTTTTCTATTAAAGAACTAGATTAAAAAATACAAGTCTCAAGATCCGTATTGAACAAGTTTTTCTTCTTTTCTACACCTTTCACTCATTTTGTTAATGAAAGCTTATGCTAGAAATTTTCTGTGATTACTTTTAGAGATAAACTTTATTTACTGTATTTTTTCTATATTTTCC